CATTCTGGATTTTCGATTCACGAGTTGAATTTTACATTTAATGTTCAGGCTGCTGCACACGAGGCAAAGAATACACAATGAAACACGTGATATATCTTTTAGTCTAAATGTGTAAATGGGTAAATGTCTTTTTTCAGAGGACAACGTTAATGACATTAACTGTATCTAGCTAGCTTTGAGTCGTTGTACCGTGAAGGCTTAGATCGATATACTAACCAAGATTTGTTCAATCAAGTACTAAGGATGTTCATGGGAAAAAGGTCCCATCGTCGGATTTTTTTTAAAATTTTGCACGACGAAAGAACATCATAATAGGAGTAAAATAAGCAAACACAAAATGGGTGTCCCCGACTTCTTTTAGCCTTGAGAATCAAGGTGAACAACGTAAACATGGAAAGCTGTCAAAAATAAGTCATATTTGACGTAAAATAAATTAATTGATCATCCCTTATTTTTCACAGAAGATTAAAAAATAATCAAATATCTTGGTAGCATTTTAAATTTGTGCTGAAGATTATTTTTCCTATGAAGTTAGGTATCACAAAGTACTTTCAACGCATTCTATTAAAAGGTAAAACAAGGTAATTTATTTTACTTCGATAACGCGGGGAGTGGTTGCCCAATTCTCCCGCGCCAAGGGCTCATGTTTAATGCGCTTGAAGATGCGCCCTCTACCCCCTCTTACTATCAGTGCGACTTTTTACGGGTATTTAAAGCTAATTAAAGCTACACAGAACAGAGAGAAGTCGAAACAGACGTGGAGTTCCTGAGGATCGAACTATGGACCTCTAGCTCTGAAGGCCGCGCACTAATCATCTGAGCTACGCCTGCTATTAGATTGAAGATTACGTATGATGAACTAGCAAATAAGTTACCTTTGTTCGATGTAAAGCAAATATATTTTGAATTTATTGCTTTAGGTGCTCCAAACAATCAGTCTTCTTGGAGGAACTAAGAATCGATGCACATCAATCTTTAGAGTTGGCTGCGCCGATTTTGTTCGGCTAAGAGTCCTTCTTCATCATCCTTCGAAAAAGCGGTTTAGAAATAAAAGAGCTGTCGTAAGCCACGATTGCTGTTATCATAGTTAATGGACTGTGGAATGGCTTGGAAACTCTATAGAACAATAGGTTTCCCAACCATTCCGCTTCATTAACTATGCTGTTATGCTCCAAAGTAGATATAAAATGGCGGTTCTAYGCCTCTTCAGTGAGGCGCGATGAGGCGGACGAGGAGGTGATGTCGTAGCTATTCTTACTACCCCATGTTTCTACCGGAGGGGTCACGGACCCTATTTTTAGTTTGCTGGATTGCACCATATCAATCGGGATGACGCCACCTATATTTTTCGTCAAAGTTTAATACTGATAAAATGTTCTAATTGTTCATAAAATATAGTTTTTCTATCACAAAACCAATTGTTAAAGGATTAGACTCTTTATACTTTTTACTTTTGTTTCATCCTAATTGAGTTCTACGAACATATTTTTTATAGGTCTTAAATCTAGCCACAACTAGATTTTTCGACTTCGCCCTTCAGTTTCTTAAAACACCCGAAACGTTTGGGAGTTTTGTTTCCAATTTACGCGGCTACTTCAAATGTGTCATCATTCCAACGTATATCCCTCCAACTTTAAATGGATTAACACCATACTAAATAATATATTGATGGCCTTTGTATGCTTCTTTTACTATTCTCTGTTTATTTTATTAAATTACTCTACGATGAACCACATCCTGCGAAACCACACCGGTTCTGTACCCGGTAAATCATTTTTTATCAACCGTGTGTGAATACAAAATAAGTTTACTTGCAACTCCTTTCATTATTTAAGTAAGATTTTACGATTTTCTATTTTGTTCTCATAGTAACTGACTTCTAATTATGTACATAATTTATACTAATCAAAGACAAAGAGACTTAGTGTTGAGAGAGTAGTCTTCAAGCATGCTTTATTGTTCATCATATACTGTACAAACAAAGTCTGTGGAATACAGTAAACACAAGAGCCATATGTATTTTTTTTATGATTCAAATTTTTGGTTTTGCCTGGGCTTGCCCTACTAGTTCATCCCTGGTTAACTATTCACCATTTTCCATACATTGATTCACTGGTCAAACACAAAGCCCTCAAGCGGGGCGCCCAGGGACTTTCAAAGGATTATTCAAATTTGAACCTTGCAACCTCGACTGAATGCTTTGTGCTTGACCAGTGAACCGATGTATGAAAAATGGTGAATGCCCTAGGTCAGTGGATTATTTTTACCTGTTGAATGTTTTGAAGAACTTTTGAAATCTTTGAATAAATTTAATTCAATGGATTTTTTCCCATAATTCTTGAGCTTGAAGTTCTGAAACTAGAGAAAAAGAGAGTAAAAAATATAAGAAAACGGTTATGAATAGCTAACTTCGGATTTCCCCTCTAATGTACCTCACTGGTATTATTAAAAAAGAAGAACAAAGTATTAATTTTTTACCTTTTAAACTGCCTCTGGTGGGGGTTGATTGAACCCCTTTACGCGGGTGATGCCAGTGTTCCTATGAAAGTAAAGAGACAGGAGGTATTGAGCGATGGAGCAATGAAGATATTTAATCATTCCTATGATCTGATCTAACGCTATCAAATTTGAGATACATGCATGAGTACTTACTTGCATTCCGAAACATGGCACATTCCTGTTTCGTGAAGGAACTTAAAGCACACCATGCAAATGACATGATCACAGGGTTCTGTGTAGAACCCTGTCTTATTATCTGTAATGAATAATTCGTGTGAATCGCAAACTGTGGATGTAAAAAAAGGAAAAAAGGTTAGACTTAATATCGTTTGCATCTCTTTTTTATCATTTTGAGTCTTGGATACGAAAGTTCAATTCCATACTCACTTATTTCTATGTTCTGCATTTTTAGACTTGTGTTACGTTGACTTAGGTCGAATGCATATATCATCAAATGAGATGAAATTTATAGTGAAAATTCTGATCATGTACTGTTAATCCCAGCGAAAGCTCTTTGTCTGGTTCATTGTTTTGTTTTTTCTAACCATCAATGTTAACGATCAGTTTGTACACCCAGAAATAAAAGCATTGCTATATTTTCCCTCGTTCAATCTTAAAAGATGCAATGATTGACAACGAGAAATCTATAAAACTATTTTCCCACGCCCAATTAAGCCTCAATGATTGACAACTAGAAAACTGGTTCTTATATATTTCGTATTTAGTGAGAAGTTAGGGTAAGACAGTTCTTAACTTCTTCTTATATATAGAGCCAAAACAATTTTCCTCGCATAGTGTTTTTAATATCATAACAGTATATAGCAATATAATCAACAATTTCTTTTAAAACTTCTGCACAAAAAAAGAGTCAATCCTTTGTGATGTCAAAATGCTAACTTTTATTTTGCTAGGTTCTCTAGGACCGGCGAGCAATAAAAAAAGGTAATATTTCCAAAATCTTAATTTATATTTTCAAAATCACCCAACGAAGCTTACCTTTTATATTAGAACCAGCCAAATGTTTAGCTGAAGTGGTTCTCTGAATACTGTACTCTGAATACGAGTCAGAGATTATGTAAGATTAGCTCGACAAAAGACTTCTGACATACATATCCTACTTAAGGAGCGCCGCAAGGGCAAATTTCAATTTTCTCCATACTACGTGAGAAGTTAACAAGCTAGAAAATATGGTGAGTCTTGACAAATGGTTATGCCTTTGCACACCAAGCCAAGGCTTGACCCATTTCGAAAGTAAGAGGGGGACGCAGCGTGTATATGTAAAAAGAAAGGGTTATGTGGATTTTTCACAACCCCTGAAAGGCTCAATGATTATGTACGTGCGCTGGATTCCATGAACGAACACTATAGGGTAGTACAATATCCTGATGTAACAACCGAGAGCCAGCGCTAAGAGTACATTGCTAATTACTTTGCGCATGAAGGGATTGCGTTAAGACCTGAAAAGATCGAAAAGAACCCCGGCCTTAGACAAATTTCTAAATTAGCTCTAAATTCTTTATGGGGAAAATTTGGGGAAAGGAAAGACAGAGTACAATCGGAATTCGTTTTTTCAATCACAGAGGTTTTTTGAGTTAATGCACAGCGCTGAGATTAATGTACAGGATTTGCACCTAATTAATGAAGAAGATATTGAAGTGGTTTATCAAAAGCATAAGGACTTTGAGCCTGAAAATAATAGATGTAATATTTTCATTGCTATTTTCACGACTGCATATGGCAGATTAGAGTTCCATAGGGTTATACATGAGTTAGGTCCTAGAGCACTTTACTTAGACACAGATAGCATAGTCTTCGTCAAAAATCTAGATAATAACGTTGAGTATGAGCCAGGAACCTCTGATTATTTGGGAGACCTCACAAACGAATTACAGCCAAATCAGCATATTGGACGCTTCTTTTGTGCTGGACCTAAGAATTACGCCTATTGTACAAACGATGGGGCTACGGTGGTGAAGGTGCGAGGATTTCAGTTGAATCATAGAAATTCTCAACTGATTAACTTAGAGAGTATGAAGGCATTGATAGAGGATTACGAAAGAGGCGGTACAATTCAAGTAGTCAATGAAAACAAGATCACCCGTCAACCTATCACGAGAAAGATTGCCAACAAACGAGAAGAAAAGACCTATAGAGTTGTGTTTGACAAACGAATATTGATTGATGGCGGCAAAGATACTATACCTTATGGATATGATTGGTCTCCTCCTGACATCGAAAGAGAAAAACGTAAACATGCTCCTCACGTTGATATCAATTTATTGCCCTTATTCTCTGTACACTCTGATCTGGAGCTCGAAAGGTCATAAGGAGAACTGTTTCTTTACGAAAACAAAAATCCAGAAAACGCGACGTGTGACATTGCATCAGATATTGAATCAGATATTGATATTATGCAAACTTCTGAGTCTGAAAGTGAATCTGATAAAGTTTATAATGAAGAAGATTTGGACTTCTTGAATGATGCTACCGTAGAAGAAAGCGAAGATCGATCTTTTTACAGAGAGATAGATAACTATGAAATATTGTGAATATGGCATGGTTTCTGAGATTTGAACTTATTTATATTTAGTTTTTTCTTAGGAAATATGTGTTTTTTAATCATCTATTGTAAATAGATTAAAAACAGGTCGTTGTCCTTTTTTTGTGCGTTTGTTTGTTTGTTTTAGTTCGCTTGATAAAACTTTTTTAGACTGATAAAAAATAATAAATACTGAAATGAAATACAGTATTCAAAAATAATAAAATACAGTATATGACTGATTTTTTTTAATCTCTCGCGTATGCACAAAACCAGAACAGTAACGCAACGTTTACCAGCATTCAATCCGCGTGCTCTCTCACATAAACAATTTCATCATCACTGTTTTGTTGACTGTTTATGTCCAAACTTTGGAGTTCGATCCGTTCCATGTCACGCATAAGCCCGCGGCGGTGTCTAAGGCGTTTAAACAGTACAACCAGAGCAATAAAGAATAAAAGCAGTAGCACGACCGCAATCGTGATGCCAATCATTGTGGTGTTGTAGGGTACGAAGAAATGTTTCTTATAATGTGTAGGAGTTTCATTGTCGCTGTTACTGTTGTTTCCCTGTTTGAAGCTGTGATTGTTGCTCCGGTAGAAGAAGCTTCGGTAAGGGAATAAGATGTGGGATAAGAACCCATACGTTTCTTTTCTTTGGGTGTCGTTGTTGTCGCTGTCGAAGGTTTTGGAGATGATTTTGTCGTTTCGATAGAAGAGGATTCTGTGGACGTGGCCAGCGAGGAACTAGTAGATTGCTCACATTTACAATTGCTCACGACTACAATATCAGAATAGCATATTCTGCTTGCTGCGCAGTTGAGGGGATTTCCTTTTAGTGCGATGTATCTCAGTAATGGTAGATCAGCAAGTATTTGAGTCAGGTTTACTATATGAATTCCATTGTTGCGGAGATTTAACGAAGTAAAGCCAACCTTCAGATGTGAAAAGCGTGGTACTTGTGTGGGGCTTAAATGAGAACAGTCAATAAACTCTGTATCAAAATGGTAAATACATGGCTCCCCAAATTTGAACCTTCCTAGCACGATAAGTATGAAAAGCAACACGTTGTACATTGTTATCGTCAGAAGAATGTAAGAACTGAAGACGATCCGACACAGAGGGGAAAAATCTCACCACAACAACAAACAAATGACACATCTGGAACGAATTACCCCTCAACTATTTCTTATTTTATTTTATATCAATTGTCGTCATTTTGTATTTTTGGTTATTCATTTATTTATTCATCTATATTATTTAGATATTAACACGATTATTTTTGTAATACCCCCCATAAGAAAATAGGGATGGTAAACCCGCTTTGCGTTGTCATTATTATTCTTAGTCCATAAACAAGAAATTTTCGTTACCATAGCAATAAGTCCCTTTCTAATCTAAGCGATGATGGAATAAGGGGGAGCACGCGCTCTTTGTCCTACACTGTTGAGTAAATTAATGGACAAAGTATTTATTATTTTGGCACGCGAGTTTATTGTGTATAACAAAAAGACAACATCCATCTGATTTTTCATCGTTCTTTCAAAAAAAATAAATATAATGTACACAATATTATGTTCGCTGGAAAGCATTCCATTTAGCAATTAATTGAACGAGTAAAGATTACATTGGTTTGTTCTCCTCTCTTAAGCGTTCTTGTACGCAGGATACTTTCACGGCAAAGATTCTTTTATGCAGGAGGACCGCCTTTCTGATATTTGGCTCTATGCTTTTGAAACGCTCTTGAGACTCGATAACCAAATATTCATAAAGAGCAGGCAAGCTAAAATATGTAATGGGAACTTTCACTACGGTACTTCCTCCCTCTATCTCTGGGACATAGCAATAGCGTTCTTTACATCGGTTCAACAACAGTGTTTCCCAGGGATTCATAGAAAAGAATGGGTTGGCAAACTTAGAAGCTAAATCAAGCTTCCTTGATCACAATTTTCATCTTTCGCAATTGTTCACGAAGCTCTAAAATGACTTTTCTCTTCAATTTGAGGTTAGGTACCGCCGCTTGAAATTTAAGCACTCGTCCGCTTCGTAGTTTCATCATACACAATTCAGCGTTAGCTAACTTTCTAACTTTACAAGTCAGAGGAATGATAGGGTATGAGTCGTAAACGTCTATTTATGAAGGTTACTGATCACGTGATATAATCAATGCAAAACTCCTTACCAGCCCCTCTCTCACAATACCTACAAGAATCCATTTCTCACCATTCCTATATGATTCTTTCATTCACACGTACGGGGCAAGTAGGTTTCTTAAAAATATGTCGCATCTGACCATTGTGAAAAAACCTGTTTCAATTGTGACGGTAGAGAACTTACTCTTTGGGAATATAAAGTGTTGGAAACAGGCGAGAGCTTCGTGAGCCTCACACAAGACATCTCCTTAGCCTTTGCAGGCTTCGTAAACAATAGACAGCAAGAAGATTACATGTTGCCGTGCATTGAAGAGTCAGATCTGGAGCAGTTCGAGTCATCGAACAAGGGAAAGGAATCAAACACATGCAAAAAAGAAGATGAAATAAAGAAGGAATTATTGAAAGCCTACGCAGTCGTGCTCGCCAGAGACGTTAGACAATTGGTGTGTAAATACTGTGAAGCCTGCGAAATATTTGACCCTTCACAGGAACACCACGATTGCCTAATGCTAGAGAAAGATGTTTGCGTTTACTGTTACCTGGAAGAAGCGTTGGAAAATGTGGACAAAGACAAGGTGATGCACATCTTCCAAGAGAATGCGAAGAAATTGAGCGTGCCTATAAGCGAACATGAACTATCCAACTATAATAACAAAGACACTAGGAGCTCAACTTTATTGGAAAAAAAAAAGAGATTCTTGAAGAACTTGTCACAGAAAACATGTTATAAACTCTTTTTTTTAACTAAAAAATAAAGTTTCTTATAAGAATGACTAACTTTGTTTTAATTGATCTCATTTTCACTTGACGGCTTACACGATGGATGTTCGTTTTAAAACTCTTCTCAAAGTAACCCCTATGGCTGTGCAGGAAATCGTGGACGCAGTACCCAAAAATTCAAAAAAACCTTGCAAAAGGCTATGCTCAATAGACTAAAAGTCAACCCTGATAAAATTTCTTGGGATGATAAAGGAGAATTACGCATTGATAGTCAAGTCATCGAAGGATATAATATCGTCGATTTGATAAATGATCAGTTGAGAGCACGACAAAACTTTAATCCAAAGGGGTGGGAACAATTTACTGAATCCATGGCCGACATAAATATGCCTCAATATCTTATCCGGAACGAGAAAAGACGTAGTCATGCGTTAAAGTTTAAACCTCCCACCCCTCCTACAACACCGAGAAGTCTACCTAAGAGAAGTCCCAAAGCAAGGCGCCACAAAGAAAAAAGATTATCAAACAACTGGATAAAATACTAAAAAACAAAACTGTTGTAACACTTTTTTTTTTTTT